TGTTTGTATTGGGTGTTGTGATGTCTATCAGGTTTACTAAAAGACCACTTTAATTAGGAAGTATGAGAATTAATTATAAAATTGATAATGCTGGGGATCATTTTTTTAAAAGACAACCAACCACCAACCAGCCAAACAGCATTATGTAAAGACAAAATATAAGCGGTTTGGCGCCTGTCTTTGGCCCAGGGCGCGATCCTGGAGACCCGGGATCGAATCCCACGTCGGGCTCCCGGTGCATGGAGCCTGCTTCTCCTTCTGCCTGTGTCTCTGCCTCTCTCTCTCTCATTCTGTGTGACTATCATAAATAAATAAAAATTAAAAAAAAAAAAAAAAAAAAAAAAAAAAAAAGAAAACCTAGGTTCTACCAACAGTAGTTTACCTTGACTATGTATTTATTCTGTGCTAGAGCGGTGCATTCATCATTTCATTTAATGATTCCCCCATGAGGGATCCACTAAAGAAAGTACCATGTATTGCTTATTCCTGTTTTGCTATTGAAAAAGTTAATAGAACTTTCTGCATTGACAGAAATGTCCTATATCTGCAGTATTCATTTTGGCAGCCATTATCCTCCTGAAATTGAGTATTTGAAATATGACTCGTCTAACTAAAGAACTGAGTTTTTAACATAATTGTAATTAAATTAAAATAGCAAAATGAGGCTAGTGGTTATTGTATTAGACGGCACAGCTCTAGAATTTTCCTAAAATGTTCTTAACTACTACAGTACACCTCTACAATTCAAATCTCCAAACCAAAGCACATAATAGGAAAAGAAGTAATAAGGAAATATTAATATTGTAAATTACACGGAGCCATAGTATTAAAAGCAGTCTGATTAGTCAGGGATATAGATGTGACCTCTGTTCCTTGGAAACCTAAAAGACATCTTGTTCTCATACCCAACAAAGGGGCAGCCACATAGCGGTATTTTGTCTAAAATTCTTAATTCTCTTTTCTTTCTGTGAGATTACCTTCATTCATATTGTACTATCATTCTCCTTTCGTACCCTTAGCCCTTGAGCTCACTGATACCTTAAGGGTAAAGGCCTAAGAATTTCCATTTATTTGTGAGTGGTTTGGGCAACACTCTGAAGGCTTCCGGATCCTAGCTTTGTAACTGACTGCCTATGTGTCTTTAGTGGATTACTTTGTCCATTTTAGGCCTCAGATTTTCTCATCTCAAAATAAGGGAATTGAATTAAATGCATAGGTTCCTTCTAGATGTAAAAATTCAGTATATAATTTTTTTAATGGCCAAGATCCTGTAATTGTATAGAGATGCAGTAATTTTTTTTAGTAAATTCTTGTATTATTAAAATTACATATATAAACTCCCAAGTTTCTTAAAAACAAAACAAGAAATGCCAAAAAGCTGTGCAGCTCTTCAGGTCTTTTTTTTTTTTTTTTTTTTAAGATTTTATTTATTCATGAGAGACACAGAGAAAGTCAGAGACACAGGCAGAGGGAGAAGCAGGCTCCATGGAGGGAGCCTGGCATGGGACTTGATCCCAGGTCTCCAGGATCAGGCCCTGGGCTGAAGGCGGCACTAAACCACTGAGCCACCCGGGCTGCCCCACTTCAAGTCTTTTTAATAGCTCTGTTTCTTACTCTTTCACACTCCTTTTGTGAATGGGTGGCTTCACTTTTCCATAGGATACAAATCAGAAGCCTGCATTCCTTTTGTAGCAGTGGATGGAAGTGATTTCTGTACCCAGAAATCTCAGTGAATTAATTGTCACAATGAAATAATATGCTTATTTAACATATGATGGCAGTAGAAGTCTTGAAAGCAAATAACAAAGTTTGAAATGTTATTTTAGAAAAATGTTACCGTTTGTTAACATGTTTACATATAAATGATTTTTGATGTTTTACCTTTATGCTCATTTTAAAAATAACAAATATTCCATTAAGTTCAACTAGTTCATTTAAAATATTTAAGTCAAAAAAATTCAGTTTACACATGTTTGAAATAAAGTATCTATGGTATAAAGTGGTGCTTTGAACCTGTAAGTTCATCATATGCTAATTTGTGTAATCTCTTCCTGAAGTATACACCACTGCTTTTCAGCCTGTGATGTGTGTTCAGATCATCTGTAGGGCTTTCAAAAAATGTAAGTTCAGGTTCCATCTCAGACGTAGTGAATCAGTCTTAGGGAATGAGGCTCTGAACACAGATGCTGAAAGTGTCCTCAGGCTGTTCTTACTCATTCCATAAGTTAAAGAGCCAAGCATCCTGAAAGTTCTTGATAGGAAAAGGTATTGCTGATTTATTAATTAGGCTTATATACCAACATCAAAACTAGCTTTGTGGGGATCCCTGGGTGGCGCAGCGGTTTAGCGCCTGCCTTTGGTCCAGGGCGCGATCCTGGAGACCCTGGATCGAATCCCATGTCGGGCTCCCGGTGTATGGAGCCTGCTTCTCCCTCTGCCTGTGTCTCTGCCTCTCTCTCTCTCTCACTGTGTGCCTATCATAAATAAATAAAACAAAAAAAATCAAAACTAGCCTTGTAATCCTATTATAAAATTCTATTGGTCTTTCAAAAGTTAACACTGATAAGCATTTATGTTTGGATGATGGCAATTCATCACTCAAAAATATTCAACTAACTCAAAAACATTCAACTGTCTTGCCACCAATAAGAATTTAATATAAGAAATGTAATACAAAATATAGGAACCCTAAGAAAGAAGTACTTGATTTCCTTACTTAATCTTGTTCTTGAAAGAATTTGTGGTTTATGAAAATTAAAAATTCTAATTTTCTTTCATTATTAGATCAGTAAAACTCTTATCATTTGTTCGTATTTTGACAATATAAAACTTCATTTTATTGCAGTATGTTTTAAATCTTCAAATTGTTCTTCACCAAAATTACCATCATCTGTCATTGCTCATGTTATGTTTTCTCCTAGATTTTAAAATGATTTTTAATTCTCATTCATTTCTGTAAGCAACCTATAATTACACATTACTCAATATAGTTTTATAATAATTTTCGTACATGTTGAGTATCTTATCCTGGGTTTTCCAAGTCCTTACACCAATAATATTCATAGTGTGTAACACATGCATTCCAGATAATTTGCTTATATTATTGTTATATTGTTATATATAACAATATATATATATATATTGTTATATATAACAATATATATATTGTTATATATTGTTATATTTTGCTTGTATTATTGTTATTGACAATTATTTTCCAAGAACATTTTTGTATGCATTACATATTTGTATGCATTAAAAATGTGTCGGGCGGGAGAATTTAGGTAGAGATTCTGCTATTTTCTAAAATGGATAAATCTCAATACAATGCGAAAATTCTTGTGAGTGTAACTTCTGTGAATGTTCTTACCTGGGTGACCTTCCATGTGTATGTTTACCTCTTCCTTCCTCTAAGCCCTCCTCTTCACTCAGCTCCTGTAAAGAGAAAGAAAGCACGAGAAAGGACCACCTGCTCTTAGCCACGGTACCCTGGACATGATGCAGTTTGTTTCCATTATAAGACCACACCTGTCTTAGAGAGGCTGGTAATGCGGTCTAGTTATAGGCTCCAAAGAAAAAGAAAAAGGGCTTTAAAAGTGAACACATAGTGGTCTCTGTGACAGCCCTGTCTGTCATGAACAAACTGCGTGACTCCTGGCAAAGCACTTAATCTCCATGGCTTCCCTTCTCTACTTTAAAAGTGAAAGATCCAGTGACTTTTTCTTTTTTGATAGGATTATTAAATAATTATATTAAGAATAATCTCAAGATACAGTGAGGATTGAATCGACAAAGCATTTGTCAGAATCATAATATCCCTAAAAGTGGATCTGACAAGAAATGAGAATTAAGTTATGGTGTTATTGGTAGTTAATTGCATAGCCAATGGATGTTGATTACATGATTCAAGTGATCTGGTGGGGGACGGTGCAGGGAGGGGTAGACCTAGGACTTAGTTCCTAATAGTAACCCTTTTACTTTTTCACCATTTCCATCAGTAAATCAAATGAAACCATAGAACTCCTACTTTCAAATTAATGATTTGGAAATTTCATATAATGTTTAGATACCTAAGTTAGGCCATCAGATTTCTTTTACCTATAATATAAGTTATAGGTTATCTGGCTGGGCTTTTGCAGACAGGCTAGAGAATCAAATTAATTATTTGTAACATTGTTTTTATCACAGTGTACGTTGACCCTTGAACAATGTGGGAATTAGGGACACCAACACCCATACAGTAAAAAATCCACATAGAACTTTTTACTCCCCGAAAACTTAACTAGTAATAGCCTGCTCTTGACTGGAAACCTTACAAATATTATGAAGAGTCCATAAAATGTTTGTGTTTTATGTATTATATACTATATTCTTACAATAAAGTAAACTAGAGTAAAAATGTTATTAAGACTAATATAAGGAAGAAAAAATACATTTTTAGTACTGCACTATGTTCATTGGAAAAAATCCATGTATAAGTGGACCCAGACAATTTAAGCCCATATTGGTCCAAGGTCAACTGTGTTTTATGTTCTAAACAGTTATCCTATAAATGAACTGTGGACTATAACCCATTTTTAAGTTAAGGATGGCTTGGACTTATGTTTCTAAAATAGTTTCATTGCCTTTCTGCTTCCAAAGAATGATCTCTTATACCCTTAAATATAATGTTAGGAGATATACTATCATTATGAATATAGCTTGGCTCTTTTTCCACAGAGAAATTATTTTGACCAAAAAAATCTCAAAAATAGACACCACAAAGAATATATGTAGTAATTAACTAACATGTCACATTCACTCACAATTTTTACAAGACACACCTAGAATTTGAGCCATCATTGAATTTAAAAGCCAAAAATGATTAATGATTACATGTTACTATTGACTGGCAGCATTGATGACTTCTACTACATTTAAAGGTTTCTAAAGGACTTGATAGAAAAGATCTTTTCAATGTGATAGTAATATTTCAAAAGATGTGTTGTCTTTCTTTTCAGGACTTCCAATAGTAGTCAGACATTATCATCCTGCCATACTATGGAGCCATGTTCATCAGATGAATTTTTCCAAGCCCTTAATCATGCTGAGCAAACATTTAAAAAGATGGAAAACTATTTGAGGCATAAACAGTTGTGTGATGTAATTCTAGTTGCTGGTGATCGCAGAATTCCAGCGCATAGGTAATTGTTTTCTAAATCTCTATATGTGAGAAATATTTCCATACTAATTTACTTATATGTACATTGAGATATTGCTCCAACTAACTATTCCATATGCTTTTGGAAAGGGATATCTTTCATGGGATTTCTACAAAGAAAACAGTGCACATGAAATTATTATATATTAAATGACCCCAAAAGAGTCCTTTCCTTTGTAGAAACACAAAAACAAAACACACTGACCTCAGATCAGTTAGTATTACTTGGTATAGATTTCAGCTTCTATGAGCAGTTTTTCTCTTAAATTCTACCAATTAAATAAGCAAACTCAATGGAAATTTGAGCTGAATATTTAGAAGCAGAAAACCTAGTGGAATGAAATGGCAAAAACTGCAGTTTTAAAATAGCAACATCTATCCCAACTTCTATTTCCTGATCTCCAAGAAGTAAGAAAAGCAGTGATGTTAGGGAACAAAAGCCTTTAACACAAATAAAGTACTACCTTTTTTTAAATAAGAAAAGAGATGTTTAATAAAGAACAATTCATTATGTTTCTTTTGATAATTCCATATTGAATTGTTCTGTATTAATCACTGTTATGACCCCTAAGGGTTTTTTTTAAATGCTTTTAAAAACTAATTACATTCTGTCCCAAAGATTTTCTTAAATTTTCCAAAGTGGAAGTGAAATCATTAGGAAAAAATGGGCTTGGTCTTAGTTCCCAGTGATTCAGTGGGCATACATTTATTAAGATGCTATTAGAACGTGACAAAAAGTTTGTGTTTAGAGCGTGGGTTTATTAGAAGAGATGAAGATGCCTCAACCTGCATTTTATTAGAAAAGATGAAGATGCCTCAACCTGCATTTCAGAGACATCTCAAATTCTCTATTTCTACAACAGAGTTCATTACCTTCAGTACCACATATGTGTGAACTCTTACCATCTCATTCTGGTTACCAGTGGCAGAAACTGCAAACTGGTCTCCCTGTTTTCCAATTTTCTTTTATTTTTATTTTTATTTTTATTTTTATTTTTTTTATTTATGATAGTCACACACAAAGAGAGAGAGAGGCAGAGACACAGGCAGAGGGAGAAGCAGGCTCCATGCACCGGGAGCCCGATGTGGGATTCGATCCCGGGTCTCCAGGATCGCGCCCTGGGCCAAAGGCAGGCGCCAAACCGCTGCGCCACCCAGGGATCCCAGTCTCCCTGTTTTTACTCTCTTCCCCTACATTCTGTTTTCTGCAGCTGAGTGATCCTTTAAAATAGAACTCAGATCTGGTCACTCTTATGATCGAACTTTCCAATGACTCCTCACATTACTGTGAGAGCCCAGTGGCCTGTGTGATGGTCATTGCCCTCTGACATTCTGTCCTTGCGCACTCTGTTTGAACCGCATGTGTCCAAGGACCTAGAGCAGTGCCAAGTACTTATTAGGTGTGAATTTCTTTAGTGAGTTGATGAATAAATAGGCAATTCTCAGAAGAAACCTGAACAACCAATATCCATTTGAAAAGATCTGTAGTCTTACTAGCAATCGGAGGAATGAAGATTAAAATGACAACGAGACACCATTTAACACATTGCAGATGGCCAAAAATTTTAACATCTGACAATGTTGTGGGAAAGTGTTCTCTCTCATACAATGCTGCTGGGGATCTAAATTGGCACAGCACCTTGGAGAGCAATCTGGCAAACCACCCCACAGTGTACTCCTGGGACGGAGGAGAATGGAAGTAGAGGGGAATGCAAGGGAGCTTCAACTGTTCACTGTTCATATTTCTTTAAAAATAAATAAATACATACATACATACATAAAGTAAATCTATATAAATGTGCCAACATAGAAATATCTCCAAGACATCAAATAAAATCTACGTTTCAAAATATATATTTATAACCTATTTTTGTTCATATAGGGCTATCAAAAAATCTGGTCAGAGATGTACCTAATATATAATAATGTACTATTATAAAAATATTATAGTTTTGTAGAGTTATAACAAAAGTATTATCATTTGATAACAAAATGTGAACATTATAATAATAATAAATCACAAAAATTAAAAACAACCTGCTAAAACCATTCTCAAGTTTCTCCCATATGGGATCCCTGGGTGGCGCAGCGGTTTGGCGCCTGCCTTTGGCCCAGGGCGCGATCCTGGAGACCCGGGATCGAATCCCGCATTGGGCTCCCGGTGCATGGAGCCTGCTTCTCCCTCTGCCTATGTCTCTGCGCCTCTCTCTCTCTCTCTCTCTCTCTCTCTCTCTGTGACTATCATAAATAAATTAAAAAAAATTAAAAAAAAAGTTTCTCCCATATGTCTACTACTTCTACAATTAAATTGAAAAAAAAAAAAAACCAAAAAAAACCTTAGGTTATTTCCAAAAGGGATAAACAGAAAATAACCTTTATGATTTTTTTCTTTTTTTATATAGTCAGTTTAACGCTGTGGGCTTTAGGTTTTCTTCTAGATGTTATAAAATGGTATTTGAGTAATGAATGGGTAAATCATTTACCTCAGCAGAAAATTTTCAGTAATGGTAATTTATTACTCCATGGAAGGAACTAGAGCATAAAGCAATTTGTCAAACTTAAAATGCATTTCCCAGTACCATGCACTTTCTGTGGGTAACAAATTTTAAAAAGAGAGAGAGAGAGAAGAAGCAGTATTTATTAATGAACATCAACTTTAATGTGGTCACTGATTTTTTTTTCTTCTGGTACGTTCTCAGATTGGTGCTCTCCTCTGTCTCGGATTATTTTGCTGCCATGTTTACTAATGATGTCAGGGAAGCAAGACAAGAAGAAATAAAAATGGAAGGTGTTGAACCAAATTCACTATGGTCTTTGATTCAGTATGCATATACAGGTAATAAATCTGAAAACATAAATCTAAAACCTCTTAAAATTATGTTGTATAATTAGATTTCAGGTTCCTGCTTTTAGTAAAGCCTGCCATACATAGCTAACAGTGAATTCTGCTATTGTAATCATCACTCCTGGTAATACCTTTATAAAAGGTTAAAATCTCTCTATTAGAATCTTTAAAACTGTTGTTAAGGGTGGCTCACTAGGTTAAATGTTTGCCTTCAGCTCAGCCCATGGTCCCAGAGTCCCAGGATGGAGCCCCCCATCAGGCTTCCTGGTTATCAGGGAATCTGCTTCTCCCTCTCCCTCTGCCTACCACTCCCGTACCCCAACTTGTGCTCTCTTTGTCAAATGGATAAAGTATTTTAAAAATGAAATAAAATGATTGTCATAATTAACCTTATGATTGGTATTTTTAAATGTTAATATAATAATTAGATGACTTATATAATGTTTTTAAATTATTGCACCTAAAATTTGAGTTATATATAATAGATATGCTACTTAATTAAAGCATCATTTAAAAATTCTGAAAATAAACCATTAGTTTTTTATTTTAATAGAAGTCACAGAACTAATAATGTTTTTTCACATTTTGTACTTTGTCTTTTCCATCTGAAATCATCTAGGTCTAGAATTCATATAAGGAGCTCTTGTGTAGAATTATTACTGTTAACACTGATTATTTTATACATCAAAGTTAATACAGTTCTATGGTTCATGGAATGTCTTTTTGTCATTAAGGCCGCCTTGAATTAAAAGAAGATAATATTGAGTGCCTGCTGTCTACAGCTTGCCTCCTTCAGCTTTCACAGGTTGTGGAAGCTTGCTGTAAGTTTTTGATGAAACAGCTTCACCCATCCAACTGTCTTGGAATCCGTTCTTTTGCTGATGCCCAAGGTTGTACAGATTTGCATAAAGTGGCTCACAATTATACTATGGTATGTATTCTCTGAGAAGCAGAAAGTCATATGCTCTTTACCTCATTCCTTATTGCTGCAGGTTTATCTACGTGCTGCTGTTTTCCCATGGCTCTGCCACACGTCTTGAGGTTCAGGTTCACTGTCTATTGCAGAACATTTTCATTGAGTTATAAGGAGAGAACACCAAGTAATATTTCTCCTGGATCTATGAGTCCAGCCTGAGTTGTTACAGTTGCTAAAAGGCAGAGCAGTGGCCAAGGACTGTCCTATTCAAGATTTTTCAGATCTGCTGCTTTGTAGAGCAGGATTTCCCCTACGTTTTACTTTGTAGCACTGGATGAATTTCAGAATGGCCCACATATTTACAGATGGAAATTGGTGACAGTGATTGTGGGGTATTGGTGCGGTACAGACAATAGGATCAAAGGGAGGCTTTTTATTAAAGATAAACCTGATTATATGTAAGAAGTGTTTTTTTAGCTATGTAGAAAGATGTTCTTATGAATTGAAGCAAATTATGTGCTCAAAATAAATCGCAGAGGAGGTTCTCATTCAGACTCAGGAGGATAATGGATATAGATTGATCTAGGATAGCAAGAAAAGAAGGGCATATTGAGGGCATATTGTTAGGACCAGGCCCCATAATCTTCATAGTACAGGGACATGGGGGAGTGGGGATATCTGGATTTTTAAGGAATGACCATCTTGTTACACTATGGCAGTTAGGTCTTCCCAGCTGGGCAAAAATCGAAGACTTGCTTTAATCCTGCAATTAGGGCAATATAGCTCTTAAGAAAGAATGTGAACATTCTCACAAACATACCAGTTATCCATATTATTGATTGTATCAAAATTAAGAAGATGCTTTTGTCTACCTTTTCCTCCATTCTTCCATTAAGTTGGTTTGTCTGTGAAGAGACTGACAAATACTTTAGGAATTTTTCATACAGAAATAGAGATGTGAAAAAATGATAAGAACAGATGTTTACAACTCTTGGGAAGGATAATTCTACCTCCTTCATAAGCTCAAAATGAGGATTAAATGAGTTAATAGAAGTGTCGCACTTAAAATAGTGATTGACACACAGTATCCCCAGTCAATAAATGATATCCTCATTGCTGTTACCATCATTGTACAAATTTACTCTATTCAATACATAGAATTGGATGTGAGTGAACAAAAGCCCTCATACAAAAGGCAATACCAGATAGACCAAGCATCTTCTAAATTCAGTCTCATGGAAGATTTTTCCCCACCTACGTCTGTATCTTTCCTTGCAGATATCTCATTTTGACCTTAAACTTTAGGTTCAAATAATTTTAGGAGTAAGATGACTAAAATAAAGCTGGGTTTCTTTTCTTCATAATCAGTTTATCATTTAAGTAATATCTCTTTCCTAGAAAAGAGTTTTATTCACATGAAAACAGTTGTATGCATTTAGGTCACTCCTATTGTTTACAGTAGAGGCACAGTGGCTGATTAGATATAAAGGCTTAGATATAAGTTTAAATTGGCTATTTTTTTTAAAGATTTTATTTATTCATGAGAAACACACAGAGAGAGAAAGAGAGAGGCAGAGACACAGGCAGAGAGAGAAGCAGGCTCCATGCAGGGAGCCCAACATGGGACTCGATCCCGGGTCTCCAGGATCATGCCCTGGGCCAAAGGGAGGCACTAAACCACTGAGCCACCCGGGCTGCCCTTGGCTCTTTCTTTTTATTATTAAAGTAAAGTTCACATGCAGTGTTATTTTAGTTTCAGGTGTACCTCATAGTGATTCAACAATTCAATACATTATACAAGGCTTACCATGATAAGTGTAGTTATGTTCTGTAACCATACAGAGTTTTTACATGATTATTGATTTAGCTCAATGTTTTTAAAGCTATTTTCATAGCCAATTATTTGAGTGTTTTTTTTTGTCTCAAGGCTATTATCTGACATTATTCAGTTTCAACAGAGGTGAAATTTAATTCTAATAACAATAAGTCATTTAGTAGCAGATTGTCTGATTTGAATTGTTGCTATGGGAACCCAATGAAAATGTATACCAAAATTCAATCTTCAATTTAAATAAATCCCTTGGTAATTTCATTTGCTTAAAAACTAATTCCAAATGAAGAAAGGGCATAATGCTAGCAAGTGTTTGGTAACATGATAGCTATTTATATCACAAAATAGATTTTTTTAAGTTTTAATTTTAATTCCAGTTAGTTAACATACAGTGTTCTATTAGTTTCAGGTGTACAATATAGTGATTCAGTGATTCCATATATCACCCTGTGCTCATACAACAACACAAAAAAAGAGTTAAAATCTGAAGTAAGCATAATGCCACATAGTGAATTCAGTTGTCACAATCAGTAAATGTTGCACGTACTTGGGGCATTCACTCATCCTCTGTGAATACAGGTAGGAAAGAATGAGGAGTTCCTTCTTATAATCCTGAAATCTAGGAGTTTGTTCTTACTCTGACTGCCATTGAATGTGACCTGGCATGAGTCCTTTAACCTCTGCCAAAAGTCTAACACTGGGTATGTCATTACAAATAATTGATGGCATTATGGATTTGTGAAATAAATATAAGCATTTAATTTTGAATTTTTGAATTTTGGTTCTCAACCTAGAAGAAAAGACTGAATTCTGCTAAAATACCTGGTGTAACACCAAGTAATACTTTTGAAAAACACTTTTATTTAACCTTGAGTTCAGTTGTTGAGAGACTCAATTTTCACTTAAAATGAATTGTACTAGGTCAGAATGGGCACAGTTCTGAAATAGAAAATCAACAAATAAATAATAACATATATAATAGTCTTTTCTGCTTGAATTCATACCATTGCATTGGTAATGCCATTAATACCATTCGAATGCAAAGCAGTAGTTGTATCGATACGGTCAGAATGGTGTAAATGTTATAAATATTGATTATATTGTACACTACCATTGAGCAATTAGAAATGTATATTATTTTGATTTCTTGAGAATCTTACTTAACATTATATAATAAATGTGTTTCCATGTATCTATGTGATCTTTGTTTTTAAAATGTTTAATGCCTGCTTAATAATAGCCCATTGAGTTACAACCCCCTATAGCTGGACCTTTAGGCTAATTCCCATTTTATACTATTATAAATAATAATATAGAGAAGCATCATTAGGGAAGCATCAGCTTTTTTTTTTTCCTCTTGTGAATTATTTATTAAGGATTAAACTGCTAGTAGGATAACTGGTTGAGAGCTTCAACATTTTTATAGCTCTTGCAATGTGTTACCAGATTATTTTATAATGTCAGTACACAGTTGAGTAGAACAGTTTGCTTGAAGCCAACATTGAGGTTTTATTAAAATATATTTCTGAAAATGATAGTCATTTAAAATAGATACATTTGGGCATTTTTAACAAATCGTGATGAATTGAAGCAATTGAATTTAGTTAATTATTCATGTATGGCTTCCTGTTAAGAATTTCTAATAAAGGAATTTCAACCCAAGATATATTTTAGATCAGTACCTAATTTGGGTTACTGCAAGGTATATGGGACATATAATTCTCATTTTAATATAGAAGATATTTACTGGTAATCCTTATCTCTAGCTCTAATTTAAGTGGCCTTAGCTATTTCACTAAAACCATGTATGCTGAGACAGCCACAGCACACTAGGAAGTATAAGAAAAACATCAAGGGGCAATTTGTGTAGCATTTGCATTTATATTATAGCTAAGTAAACAATCCATGCATTAAGACTTGTAACCTGTACTCCAGATAGTAAATTTCCCATATCTTTGGATTGTTTAGCATAACAACCTAGTAAAGGTCATTATCTCACAGCTAAAGTCATTTCTGTCCCCCATTTCAAATTATAAGGAGCCTAATTCTAGTAGTATCTGCAACTGAATTATCTTCAGTCCAAGGTCCTGGAATCCCAGTACATTGTATTTTAACACTTTTGCTTTGTCTCTTTTTCTCTGAGATGAAAAGAACTTCAGACGTAAATCAGTTTAGAAATTTTTAAAACCGACCTAAAATGCTGTGTGAACTACATTAAAACACTCTTCAGGCCAAGGCCAATCAGAGCCAGGATAGCCCTAAGTATATATAGTCTTCTCTGCGCAGTCGGAGAAGATTTTTGTGGTACAGGATGGTCCTGGGAAATCCAGCCTGCCTGGCAGCCATTTCTGGGTAAGAGAAATCTTCATGACTCACCCAGGTAACTGGCTGCACTATAAACCAAATTCTTCAGCAACCACAAATGTAACCACACTTTGATGTCAGACTATCCTACATCTCAGAGTCTAATTCATTTTTTTCTACCCTCCACCTCTTGAAAGACTTGCCAAAACTATTCTCTAACTTGAGCAAAGCAAAACCTAAAAATCCCGGCTCCATTTTTAAAAAGTCCCAAATGGTAAGGGCGCCTGGGTGGCTCGGTCAGATAAGTGGCTGGTTCTCGATTTTGACTCAGGTCATGATCTCAGAGTCCTTGGATCAAGCCCCACCCACATCAGTCTCCATACTCATCGGGGAGCCTGCTTGAGGATTCTTTCTGTCCCTCTCCTTCTGCCCCTCCCCCTGCTCAAGTGCTCTCTCTCTTTCTCTCCTCCCCGCCTCATAAATAAATCTTAAAAAATATAAAATGTACCAAGAGGTAAAATTTAATTCTATTGATATGGAGACACAGTGTAACAACATAATTTGCAGTTTAATGTTATTTTATACTGTGTTTCTTTCTAGGAAACAGTAATGCTATTGTAAGGAAGGTCTAACAAACGTATAAATGTGTTTTAGCACCTGATTCAAAAATTTTTATTTACTCTTAAATAAACTGATGGATAGAAGAAACGATATTGTTGATATGCTACTTTTCCCTTCTAGGAGCATTTCATGGAAGTAATTCGAAACCAGGAATTTGTATTATTACCAGCCAGTGAAATTGCAAAGCTTTTGGCGAGTGATGACATGAACATTCCTAATGAGGAGACAATACTGAATGCACTTCTTACTTGGGTTCGTCATGATTTGGAACAGAGACGGAAAGATCTCAGTAAACTTTTGGCTTATATTAGGCTACCTCTTCTTGCACCCCAGGTAAACTATTTTTGATTATTTAAAATCAGTATCCTAATTTCAACAATATTTGGGTATTGATTTTATGTAAATCATGTTAATACGTACATGTCTGTAGGTTTTTTCCTTTGGCTATTCTATCCAATAAGGCTATTTTACCTATACTCCTATGAAATGTGTAGGTGAAAAGATACTTAGCCAAAAAACTTCTGCTTGTGTTTTTGACTCAGAAGGTCTGGCTGCCTAAATTACGTCAATTAAATAACATTGTTCCTAAGGGGGTTAGTAATTTTATTTGACTCAGCTTACAAACCTATCCTAGCAATTGAAGAATTAGTAAAGCTGCAGGTGAAATTTGCAGTAGATGCCAGGAGCCAGAAAATGTAAATTAATTCATTTGCTACACATCTATTAAGTATCCATTAAATGCCAGATTCTGGTGATGTATAAACTGAGACATGGTAAGAGTTCCAGCTCTGACATTTTTTTTTTGGGGATTTTATTTATTTATTCATGACAGAGAGAGAGAGAGAGAGAGAGAGAGAGAGAGAAACAGGCAGAGGGAGAAGCAGGCTCCGTGCAGGGATCCTGATGTGGGATGCAATCCTAGGTCTCCAGGATCACACCCTGGGCTGAAGGTGGCGCTAAACCGCTGGGCCACCAGGGCTGCCCTCCAGCTCTGACATTTTAAAACTCTCTGTCTTGGCATAGTCACACACCCCATTCTCTTATATCTGTTAGGTGGAGATAACATCCTCTTTGACTATCTGACAGGATTATTGTAAAGATGAGAAAAGTGCTCGGTGAGATCAAATGTGCTACAAATAATCATGGTAGAATTATTAGCATTATTTTAGAATTGAGAGATATCTAGTTAGTGTATTCAAGGCAATCAGTCAGAACACATTTGCATGCATACTTTCCCCTTTGTACAGTTTTAACCGGAATATACTGTGGTCCCCCCCTTATCTGCAGTTTCGCGTTCCCATGGTGTCAGTTACCCGTGGTCAGCCATGGTCAGGAAGCAGGTGATCCTCCTTCTGACCTCTTGTTGGAAGGTCAGCGGTAGCCAACTACACATCACAGAGCCTGTGTCACTCACTTCACTTCATCTCATCACGTAGGCATTTTATCATATCGTGTCATCACAAGAGGAAGGAAGGTGCATAAGATACTTAGACCACATTCACATAACTTTTATTACAGTTTCATTGTTCTGTTTTATTATCTGTTATTCTCTTACTGTGCCTGACTTTTAAATTAAACTTTATCATAGGTATGTATGTATAGGAAAAAGATATATATGGGGTTCAGTACTATTGGGGTTTCAGGCATCCCCTGAGGTTCTTGGAACATATCCTCCATGGTTAAGGGAGACCACTGTACTATAATTTCCTCTACCTCCTTTACTGCTTATCCTGAAGGCTTGAATTAGAGAAAGAGGCCTTGAAAGTACAAGAAGAATGAGCTGTGACTACTCAAGCTCAGATTTTTGTTGTTCAAGTGCCATAAATTTTATCTTATTTGTATTTATCTTGAGGATTATGTATTTCGTCTGGCAGTTGTTAGCAGAAGTCACTGTTTGCTCTCTACCTTATAAAGACAAAAAGTACTACCAATCCTTAATAAGAAAGACCTCCTTTTCAGAGGTAAACTATCATATGAATTCGTAGAAGTGAAACCATATGAAATGTTGACAATTCAAGAAAAATAACATTCTAAAACGTTTCCCTTGAAATCAGATTTCAAAAAGAGAGTTCTGTTTTACTGGTACCTAGCTGAAGTTTTTTCCTTATCGTTTTCTAGGTTAAAGAAAATTAAATCTAAAAAATCCTAGTAGACTTTGAAAAGAATCTGTGTGATTCCATAACCTGACAATTGACTTAAGTCCTGCAGTTTCAAATATTTATGATACTATATTTGCATGATTCCTAGAGACATTTCACGTTTCTGTTATCCAGGATACTGCTGATAATCATAACCACAAGATCTTAGAGTGGAAAGGCACTCATTTAGCCTAACACCTGTTGTACAAATGAAGTAACCAGCCAAACAAGTAAAACCATATGCTCACAATCCTAAAGTGATTGCATAAATTTTTGTCCTTCTGCATTGTAGTTTTATTTGCCTTTGCTACTTGGCTAACATAGAGCTAATAAGAGACAGAGTTAAGTTCTGTGCCTTTTTCACTGAACCAGTCTGCCCCTTGAACATATTGTGTATAAAATTTCTGGGTTGGGGAGGTATATCAAGTGGAGGAAGAAGTAAGTTAAAAAATAAATGTGTGATTATGATATAATGAGAGGAAGGCTGTGATGAATATATGAATATGGCATTATAAAAATAATTGGAGTAGCCCGCCCAGGCTGATGGTGGGGAAGCTAGGAGAACTTTCTGAAGTGTCACTTGGTCGGCATACTGAGTAGCTACCCAGAAGACTGGGGCATGATAGCCCAGGAGAGATAGGAGACTGGACCTAGTTACGGAGTCATGAGCAAATACATCAAGCAAGAGAGCTTTAATGGCTCTAGTGCAGACATAAAAGGGCAGAGTGGGAAGACAACGAATCTCTAGCTATGCCAAGGAGTTTGCATTTTATCCCCAAAGCAGTGGGGAAGCACTAAAGGATTTTAAGCAGGGAATGATATAAGTACCATCTTGCTTAGGAAGGAGGATCCTCTCTAACTGTATTGCGGATATTGAATTAGAGCAGTCAAAGTAGAAATCCATTAGGAAGACTATTGGATTCAGACAAGTTAATTAGGTGCTTGCTGGCAGTGCAGGTAGAGAAATTACCAGGCTCAAGAGCTGTTTAGGATGTAGAATTGGTACAACTTAAAGGTGTGGGGTACAAAAAAAAGGGGATCCAGAATGATTCTGATTTGTGCAACTAAGTTAAGGAAAGTGCTGTCATTTAAGGCAAAGAATACAAAATGGAGTGCTGATTTTACAGTGGAAAGAAGATGGAAGAATTGTGTTCCCAGAGTTTCTTGGTACCTTTCATCCTCTTGGAGTCTAGGAAGAAGTTTTGAAAACTTCTTATTTAGGTTGTTGCAGCCAAAAGGAAGAGAATGACTTGGCCAAAGCAAAAGCAAGGGCACTAGAGATGGAACCCTCAGAAACAGTAGTGTTTAGTAGTAATTCCTAAATTTGCCTAAATAACTAGAGGGCTATTAAAAAGAGATTCTAAAATTAAATTAAATTAAATTAATTAAATTAAATTAAATTAAAAAAATAAAAAGAGATTCTAAGGTCAAGGAGGAGGAAATTTTAACATAAACTGATATTACACAGGAGACATGATAAGGACAGAAGATCCACTGGATTAACCCAGTTATTCTCATGAAGAAAACATTGGATTATATTCTGTATGTTTTATTGTGAAAGATAGAAACATATGACAATTATTTAAACTGTCCAGTGGGTATCAAATAATAAGTGACTAATATTTAAAAATTGCTACCAAGTCCACTTACCTAAAGAATTTACTTTTGTAAATAGGTGAAGCAGATTAGGAATACACTTATCATGATGAGCACTGAGTAATGTAGAGTTGCCAAATCATTATATCATACACCTGAAGCTAATATAACACTATATGTTAATTATAGTGGAATTAAACAAAATAAATGAAATTTAAAAACAATAAATAAAATTTTTAAAAAGAATTTACTTTTGTGAAATAGTTCCTTTCCCAACGAGCTTATACCCTACTTTGTTAATATGAAACACTATTGAGTCTAGCTAGAAAGGATGTAACTTACATATATAGTAATTTTTTATAGTGTCTCCCGTAGTAGATCCTTAAAATGACCTAAGAAATATATATGTAATTGTCATCCTCTACCAAATGATCATTTAGTGTGGTTTGTTATGATGTGTTTTTTTTTAACTCTGAATAATCCAGAAGATACATGTTTGTGGATTTTTGTTTACCTTTGAATGCATCACAAGCTTTTCTATTTGATCAAGCTTCAAACAATGTGGATAGGAATACTAGAGAAGTGTACATTATTTAAAATATTTTGACACCTAAATTCTTAAAGTTCCCAATGGTTAGCTTGCATTATAAGTATCTTGGTCTTTACTATTCTGTTCTCAATTCTCATTACTGTTTTCTACTGAAAGTCAAAAATATAAAATGAGCCAGTATTTACCTTTACCATTCTTTTAATTTACCTGTTTTTGATGCCAAAACATTTTTAAAACCTATAGAATTCAGAAATATTCACATTCTATTTTATACACTAAGTAGTACTGGAAGGGACAGTTGTAGAGAAATAATCATATGGAGATTAGGTATGTAAGGATAAAAATTTACACATTGAAAATGTTTCTTTTTTCTACATATTTTCATTTAAGTTATTTGTCATTCTCTAATAGTGGATAAGACACATAGTGTTCACCTAAAATGCAGAGAATACAAGTCTGTATTTTTTCTCTTTCAGTGCCTTCTGAATGATTTTCCAAATGATTTCTGGTATCTTCCATTTGATTAATCTGATATGTGGGTTAATGGTTTTACATTCCCTTCTGTTACTCTCATCTCCTACTTAAATATGATTAATCCCATTATTCATTAAGTATAGAGACTGTTAGCATGATTAAAAATATATTTTAGGGATCCCTGGGTGGCGCAGCGGTTTAGCACCTGCCTTTGGCCCAGGGCGCGATCCTGGAGACCCGGGATCGAATCCCACGTCGGGCTCCCGGTGCATGGAGCCTGCTTCTCCCTCTGCCTATGTCTCTGCCCCTCTCTCTCTCTCTCTCTCTCTTTCTCTCTCTCTCTCTCTGTGTGTGACTATCATAAATAAATAAAAATTTAGAATATATATATATATATATTTTACTTCAAATTGCAGTAACTAGTAAGTCTCCCAAGACTTTACTTTCTATAATTTTTTCACATTTATTTTTATTTAGAAAGGACTAAAGTAATTACATATAGCAAAAGTAATATAAACATTAAGATCAGTCAAAATGAGCCAACTCAGTGCATATTCAGCAATGGTTTCTATAGCAAATATAACTATATTTTGTGTGTGTAGAAAAAATATGGAATAATTAATATCATAATATATACTCTGGCACAGGTCCTGAGACTTATGTCTTAATTTGGCTTTTTTACTGTTAGCATGCTGTTCTCAGTTTCCAAAAACCATGAACTTTTTTTTACAGTGACTTTTGTTAGAGACTCTTCCATTATCAAGATATGAACATATTCTCAACATTATTACTCATTTGCATTTGCAAAGTAAAACTGCATTCCCCACCCACTCAAATGGCTAAAATAAAAGGAGATAGTAACAACTGTTAGTAGAAATGTGGAGGAACAGGAACCCTCATATATTGCTGGTGGGAACATAAAATGATGTAGCTACTTGGAAAATTGTTTGGCAGTTTCTTAAAAAGTTAACATGTATTTACCATATAACCCAGCAATTCTATTTCTAGTTATCTACCCAAGAGAAATGAAAACATTTATCTACATAAAGACTTGCATGCAAATGCTCGTAGCAGTTTTATTCATAACAGCCAAAAACTGGAAATAATCTGTGTCCATCAACTGTGAACAGATAGACAAAATGTGGTATATCCGTAAATGGAATATCATTTAGCAATAAAAAGAAGTACTAAGGAACACTCATGCACTGTTGATGGAAATTTAAATTGGCCTCACCACTGTGGAAGACAGTATGGAGGTTCTTCAGAACATTAAAAATAGAAATACCATATGATCCAGTAATTCCACTACTGGGTATTTATCCAAAGAAAACAACACTCATTCAAAAAATTATACACAATCCTGTGTTTATTGCAGCATTACTTACAATAGCTAAGATATGGAAGCAACCCATGATTCCATCAATAGATGAGTAGATAAAGAATATGTGGTATACACACACACACACACACACACACACACACCAGAATATTATTCAGCCATAAAAATGGATGAGATCTTGCCATCTGTGACAATATAGATAGGCCTAGAAGGTGTTACACTGAGTGAAAGAAGTCAGACAGAGAAAGACAAATACCATTGTTTTAACTTCTACGTGGAATCCAAAAACAAAAGAATCAGAGCCATAAATACAAACTGATGGTTGCCAGAGCAGTAGAGGTTGGGAGATGAACAAAATGGGTAAAGGGGAGTGGGAGATACAGGCTTCTGCATATGTAATAAATAAGTCATAGGGTAAAAAAGACAGCATAGGGAATATAGCCGGTGGTATTGTAACAGTGTTGAACAGTGACCAATGGTGGGTAAGCATACACTTGTGGGCATAATGTATAGAATTGTTGAATCACTATGTTGTACACCTGAAACAATGTTGTACACTGTGTACCAACTACAATAAAAAATTTTTTATGAAAGAAATGAAGTACTGATACATGCTACACATGGGTAAACCTTAAAAACATAATTTTAAAAAGCAAGTCAGCATATTGTATGGCTTTATATAAAACATCCCCCCAAAAAGGCAAATCTGTAGAGACAGATAAGCCCATGAGACAAGAGATGGGAAACAGTTTAAACAGCAAACAGCATGTGAGCTCTAACTGGGATGATGAAAATGTTCCAAAACTGTTTATGGTCATGGTTGTTCAACTTGGCAGATTTGCTAAAAAAACCACTGAATTATATACTTAAATTCGTGAATCATGTGATATGTAAAATGTGTCTTATATTATCGAATACTGTCCTGCAGTGTATCAAAAGAATGATACACTATGACCAGGCAAGCCTTTTTCCAGGAATGTAAGAGTGATTATAAGTAAATCTGTCAAGAAAATTATATCAATAAGTTAAAGGAGAAAAAGCCATATGATCGTATCAGTAAATTTGTAAAAGGCGTTTGGAAAAAATGTGGGAACCATTCTCAGTTTTAAAACTCTGAAGTAAAATAGAGAGAGAAGAAAATAGCCTAAATAGAATAAAGATGGATTACTAAATGCTATAGCAACTTTCATCCGAAATAGTCAAACACTAAAACCATATCAATTCAAACCAGAAAAGGGGTACTCTGTATCACTAATTATTTAACATTGCTTTAAATGTTTTAGCAATTGTAATAATAAAATACAAATGAAGTAAATGGCATACACATTAGAAAGAGATGTCAACTATCCCTGTATGGGTGGTGATTATGATTGTATGCCTAATAACTACAGTTTTATAAGGGAATGTGGTAAAATAATAGATTATAATATAAGGATAAAATAATCAAAAGATTTTTTTCTCCAGCAAAATATTTGCAGAATGTAAATTTAAGAATCCATTCCCAATAGCAATAAAAATAATAAAATCTGTAATATGTATATTAAATATGTATATTTAATACAAGAAAGGCATAAGACCTATATGAAGAAAGGTATACAGCAAATGGAAAGGCTTCCTGAACGGAAAGACAGTATCATAAAAATGTAAATTCTTCCACAATTAATAAATAATTTAATGCAGTTCATATTAGAATTCCAACAGGGTCAAGATGGTGAAGGGGAATTAGATAAATTTATCTTTAGCTTATATGGAAAGTTAAAAACTCAAAAATAGCCAAGAAAACTATGAAAATGAACAGTAAGGGTAGATTTATATCAGAAAATCAGAGTGTGCTATAAAGACAGTAAAAAATTTGATATTAGAGTAGGAATAGACAGATCAATGGAAAAGAATAAAGAATCGGAAAACGGGTCTCATATATACTGAGATATAATTATAAGAATATAATATATAACCAAAGTTCAATTCACTTGAAAATGAAGATTATTTAATAAATGGTGGTGGTACAGAACTGGCCATCTACCTTGAAGGAAATTAAAATATTCTTCAGCTCATACTCTATTTAAAAATTAATTTCACATGAATCAATAGTAAATAAAAGAAATACAGCAAAAAGAGGGGTGGGAGGTAGTTGGAGAAATAAACACAAAAGGAAAAGAAACACATTTTTTAAAAGTCAGGATGAAATCATTTCTATGCATTTGCATAAAGTTACATAAAGTTTAAAACTTGGATTCAATGAAGCAGAAGGGATTTAAATTTTGTTAGGGTAATCACCATTTAGAGTTCTTTGCCCTTAAGAAACTGTAAGGTGTTTTTGCTGTTTTTTTTTTTTTTAAGAAGGGGGAGGGACATAGGGAGAGGAAGAGAAAGAATCTCAAGCAGACTCCCTGCCTAGCACAGAGCCCTTCTGGGGGTTAGATCTCAGGACCCTGAGATCATGACCTGGGCCAAAATCAAGAGTTGGATGCTGACCCATTGAGTTACCCAGGCACCCCTGCTGTTCCTTGAGCACTGTTTAGAGAGGTCAGGTAAATGCAGTCTAATTAGTCAATTTCTATTTATAATTACACTTCTTCAGTTAAAATTATTTCTAATTTAAAAAATAAAGTGATTTTTTTAGAAAAGCAGTAAAAAAGATTATTAAAAAGCACCAATTTCTCCACTACCCAGAGATAAGCACTATTCAGGTTTCAGAGCATACCACCTGTCTTCTTCAATTTATATTTTTCAGTGAAATTTAAAATGCCGATCTTGTAAATATTGAATATATTAGTTAAAAATAGGTGTCCACGGGAGACCTGGGTGGCTCAGCGGTTGAGCATCTGCCTTTCGCTCAGGGTGTGATTCCAAGTCCAGGGATCAAGTCTTGCATTGGGCTCCCTGTGAGGAGCCTGCTTCTCCCTCTGTCTGTGTCTCTGCCTCTGTGTGTGTGTGTGTCTCATGAATAAATAAATAAAATCTTTAAAAAAAAAAAGTGTCCAGGCTTGGATTTTTTTTTTTCTAAATGAGATCATTTCCATTTGTGAACTATATGTTCTTTTAATTACTATTTTCTTGCTCATTTAGTATACATCCTCACCACTCTTTTCTAGTTCCTGGCAGACATGGAAAATAATGCACTTTTTCGGGATGATATAGAATGTCAGAAACTTATTATGGAAGCAATGAAGTACCATTTATTACCAGAGAGACGACCCATGTTACAAAGCCCTCGGACAAAACCTAGAAAGTCAACAGTTGGAACATTATTTGCAGTTGGAGGAATGGATTCAACAAAAGGTATTAATAATCTTTTATTTGGGGGAACAAGGGAGAAAAAAAAGAAGCTTTAGTTAGTAACAACACAGGCCAAAGAGCTCTTTAGAGAAACAGCTGGTTCCAGGACTGGAAAAATACAAGGTAAACCCAGAACATCTTATAGTCCCAGAAAGTAAAGAAGTGCTCAACAACTAATGAAGACAGTACAAGGGACAGAAGAGACAGTTTGTAGGAACCACCACTGTCCAAATCTGGGATAATTTCAACACCAAAATAGATAATGATGATAAAAGATTATCATTTATTAAATCAGTATGTATTCATGAGTCCACACTAGTACAAATAAAGACGAGGGGAGGGACAGCTTTAGAATTATTATTAGAATGCCAACTAATAATTACAGAAAGAAAGGACTCAAAAAATTATAATTTATCATGATAACTAATTCAGTCAAAAATTATCAATAGATGCTACCACCAGTAGGTGAAAGTTTGAGAACAGATAATTAGCTTCAACTCAACGTATCTTCCAACCGCTTGCTTATTAGTGACAAAGGGTAAACTAGTATCTTTACAGTGGAGAAACGGGGCAGACAGCACCTCAACCGAATGAGCTATTATCCAATGGCCAGTAATGAGACTAATCAGCAGCATGTGCCTCTTAGGAGTATACAAAGGACAACTCAGCTGTACATCTGTGGTATCCTCGCCAGAAGTGAACAACTCAAATTTAATCGTGAGGAAAAAACAAACAAATCCAAGTTGAGAGACGTTCTCCAAAATGACTTCTGTGTCTGTAGTTTTCCAAAATGTTAATGTCGCAAAATACAGAAAAGACTCAGGAATTCGTGCCACATTTCAGGAGACTGAAGAGATATGACAGCTATTATACTGCATCACCTTGAATTTCTTTTGCTCTAAAGGACATAACTGGAGCAGGTGATAAGATCCAAATAAAGTCTGTTGGTCAGATAACAGCGTTGTATAAATGTTAAGTTCCAGATTTCGATGATTGTATTGTTCCGTAACAGGGTTTCTTGCTTTGAGAAAGATACACTGAAGTATTTAGGGTACAAGGGCATCATCTCTACAACTTGATCTTAAAACAATTCAGGAAAAAAAAATTTATACACACGTGTATACAGCAAAAGCAAATGTAAAACAACATTTGGGAAATCTGGGGTTAAGGTATTTGGGAATTCTTTGTACTGTTTTTGCAACAGTTGTTACAGCAACAATAATAGTAACAAACATCATATATAGTGCCTCCTCTGCCAGGTGGTGTGCTAGAAGCTTTCTGTGTATTATCTCTCAGTACATTGATCTTCCTTTCCTCTGAATTCCTAGCACTGGTAGCCTGCAATCCCCTGACAGCACCTCTCTGACTTGGGAATACATCTCTGAACTCACTTCATTCTACTTCTCCCCTCACTCTTCCAGTTCTAGCCCTGCTGGCTTCCGCTTCCTTCATGGAACAAGTCAAACATTATCCCACATCTGGGCTACTCCATTAGCTGTTCCCTCTCCTGGAATGCCTAGCAGAAATTATTCACTCATCTCCAAACATCAATTTACAAAAAAAAAAAAAAGACTTTCATGGCCAATCATCACCTGCCCATCGCTTTCTAATCTTTTGCCTACCTCCTTCTATCTCATTCTTCTGCTTATATTTCTTCATAACACCTGATCTGTCTACTTCTTCCCCCCAAGTAAGCTCTGGGAAGCAAGAAACTTGTTTTGTTTTTCTCAACAATATATCCCACAGCACCTAAAACAGTTCCTTGCACATAGGCAGCATCAATAAATATTTGCCATATAAATGAAGGTTGTCCTTCCCCATTTCTTGAATTATTTGTATGACTGAAGCCCTCAATGCATTATTCACATCTAAAGATTTCCATGTGACTTCTTTAATGAATATAAAAATAGGAGCTCTAATTGGAAGAGTTTTACTGTAATTTAACTTTTAGCTTTATGGTAACAAAGATATGGGTGTAGATATTATCTCATATAATATGGTGCTTTATATTTGTAGATGCTTCCCTTCCTTCCTTCCTTCCTTCCTTCCTTCCTTCCTTCCTTCCTTCCTTCCTTCCTTCCTTCCTTCCTTCCTTCCAGATCTTACCTTCTGACAATCACCAAGTCTTCTTTCAAATGGGTCTTATCCTTCTAAATTTCCATTGGTACTTTCCAGTTCCTGGTAGCCTCCTATCAGCCTACATCTTTCAATCATGTTCATTTAGTGTGAATAGCATTCATTCATTGTGTTGTTACTATGTGCCCGGAATTATGCTAAGTGCCTCACCTATCATTTTTAATCTCATATTCATAATAATTCTAAGAGCTGAATGTTGTTATTGCCCTAGGATACCTGTCCCTAGAAAAGTTAACTGTCTTTCCCAGGAGTACACAGTTAACGAGTGATGGAATCAGGATTCAAATAAGGCATGGACTCTGGAGACTACACCCTCTGCTTCATTAATTCTTCTGTTTACATAACATTTCTCTGCTCAATGACTACAGTGATCTTCATTTCTTACCACATAAGATGTAAAATCCTCTTTCTAGTTTCCAAGATTTTCTGTAATCTGGCCATTATTACTTGACCAGCTTTATTCCTGAGTCTTTCCTAGATGCCAGTTGTTCTCACCTTCTATCCGATGCAAGCTATCTTCCCTGGCCATAACTTATTTTATACCCAAAGTCTTTATAATGAAGAGCAATTTGCATCCAGTCTGGATCATTGGGTTCTTGGTCCTTTCATATACCTTAGTACAGGGCCCAACAAATAAGCTGGAAATGTTTCTAAATAGCCATTAAGAAAAAGTTAGAATATATTTCTGCTTACTTTTTTTTTCTGCTTACTTTTTTAAAGGTTAATCTTTTAGTATAAGGAAGTTTTAACCTTTTATATAGAATTTTGTAATTATTAGGAATTTGTTACTTGAAGATCTTTGGGTTTTGTTTTTTTTTTAAGAATTATGTTTGCTCACACAAACATACTTTCCCATGACATGTTGCCATCTTAACTAATTATATAAAAAAAAAAAACCACATTTTCAAAATAGTTTATATTCTGAGGTTCTGGATAAACATGGATTTGGGGGTAGAACACTGTTCAACAGCCCTGATAACAATATTACCTCTTTTTAAATGAAATATTATAGGGGTACCTGGGTGCCTCAGTTAGTTAAGTATCCAACTCTTGATTTCAGCTCAGGTCATGATCTCAGGTGGTGAGATTAAGCCCCAAGTGGGGCTCAGCTGGAAGTCTTCTTGAGATTTTCTCTCTCCCTCTGCACCCCCCACCTAAAATAAATAAATCTTTTTAAAAAATAAATATTATATAAAGTACCCCATAAAAATATCCCTTTTTTTTGCAAAAATGTCATAAAATATCATGCTTTGACTTATTCAGTAGTATCATTGTGTTGCAGTTATTTATACCATGTCTATTTAGCTATTTAAATTATCTTTCTAGTAATGATGTATTTGCATTCTTACACACATATTCAACAGTTATGAATAAAATTTGGAAGATGAATGTCAAAAAAAAAAGAATTTTGTTTGGTGTTAGCAAAGGAAATTTTAGTTACCAATTCGTAGAACCATGATGCTGCTTAGTGAACTGGATTTTTTGTATGACAGAATGAAGATAATTTTAAACATCAAATTTAGAGTGATGTATAAACTATCCTATTACATAAAATAATCTGAGTGTATGAATAAAATCTCATTATAGCTAAAAATTATAAAGATTATTCAAGCTCAAAAATTATTTTTGAACAACTACTATATACAAGGAACTCTGTTTGTTGCTGTGAAAACAAATAGGGGCACCTGGCTGGCTTGGTCTGTGGAATGTGTGGCTCTTGATCTCAGGGCTGTGAGTTCAAGCTCATGCTGGGTGTAGAGATTACTTAAAATAAAATCTTAAAAAAAAAGAAAAAGAATACAGAGATGGAAAAAGACTTGGAACATATTTCAAGTAGCTTATGAATTTTGTAGGGTATATCAAAAAATAAAAACCACAACATCAGAAAATAGAATATTCTGTGTATGTGTATCTATCTATCTATATATGACTATCAATAGTATTGGTGCTCTGATGAACCAATTATAACAAATACTTTGGAATAAATATTTGTCCTGATTCTAATTCTCTAAAAATAGCTCTGATTGCATGTTGTATTAGACACTTAGAGAAAAGTAAAATAGAATCTAATTGAACTCTTCATAAATGGAGGTTGGATTATTTTAGAGGGGTGAGGCTTTTAACTTTTTTTCTCACTTCATAAAGAAAACAAAAGAGTTCTTGGAATCTTCTAATTCTTTTTTTCTTAAGATTTTCTTTATTATTTTCAGAGAGAGAAAGAGAGAGAGAGTGAATGAGTGAGTGGGAGGGAGAGGGAGAGATAGTCTGAAGCAGACTCCATGCTGAGTGCAGAGCCTGATGTGGGGATCGATCCCACAACCATGAGATAATGACCTGAGCTGAAATCAAGAGTCAGACGACACTTAACAGAGTGAACCTCCAGGTGCCCCTGGAATACTTTAATTCTTAAAAAAATGTAGATAGGAACAGACAGTTACTCCTGGACTTCCCACATTCTTAGTTTCCAAAGTTCATGATTTGCGCTTACACTCTTGTCCTTCCACGTTGCAACAGAATGTGTATCCCCTCCCTCCTAGGAAAGCCAGCCCCACACCTGTGTTCTGACACTGCCCTTTCCTGCCTCCTCAGGAACCTTCTTCTTTTAAAAAAAAAAAAAAAAATATATATATATATATATATATATATATATATTTATGAGAGACAGAGAGAGAGGCAGAGACACAGGCAGAGGGAGAAGCAGGCTCCATGCAGGGAGCCCAACGTGGGACTCAATCCCGGGTCTCCAGGATCACACCCTGGGCTGAAGGCAGCGCTAAACCGCTGAGCCACCCGAGCTGCCCAGGAAACTTCTTTTTTTTTTCTTTCTTTCTTTCTTTTTTTTTTTTAAGGAACCTTCTTCTTAAGTG